CGGTGAGCAGGTGGCCGGGGCGGTCGTGGGTGGCCCGGGGGGCTGGGGGGCCGCAGGTCGCCCTTGGCCAGTACCTGGGCGATACGGTGATGCTGCAGCTTGATGACGCGGGACACGGCCATCTGCATGCTGCCGAACACGGCCACCACCTCCAGGATCTTGTCATCGAACGACGGAGCGGTGAAGGTCTGGAGGGCCGAGTCACAGCTGACCGCTGCCCCCACGTCCCCAGGCCCCACCCTTCGCGCTCAGGGGCTGCCTCCCACGTGGGTGAGTAGACCCGATGCCAGGCCTTGGCGCCTGCCCGGCGGCGCCACCCCGACCGCAGGCTCCCGGGGGCCGTGAGCTGACAGGCGCGGCGAGCACCGAGGGAGCCCCCGGCTCCGTGTCCCCGCCCCGCCCGGCTCCCTGACCACGCGACTTCCTTCTCCGCAGAAGTCCACCCACCCACGCCGCAGCCCGTCACCTTCAGGTGCCAGCGCGTCGCCCCCAGACCGCCCAAGCCGGGGTGAGCCCGGGCCCGCCTCACCCCAGCCCCTCCCCGCAGCTGCCCCTCAGCGCCCCCGTGAGCGGGCGCCGTCCTGCCCTCAGGGCGCCACACTCCAGCACGGCCCTGACCACTACCGAGTGCTCCGAGCGCCCCGGGCGCAGCTGAAGCTCCGTGAGGGACACGGCCCCCACCCCACCCTGAGCTGGGCCCACGCCGCCCAGCACCCCACTTACATCGTCTTCTTTGGTGCCTCCCCAGAAGTTGGTGCCTCCCGCGTAGCTGGGGATGTTGAGGACAGCGATGCCCTGGAGACTGGGCAGCGGGATGGGCCGCCCGTCACACTGAGCAGAGAAGAGTGACGAGTGGGCCTCGCCCGCCCTGCCCAGGGCAGGGCCGCCGGGCCAGGAGGAGGCAGGGGCGGCCGCTCACCTCCAGCAGGACCTTCTGCTCCAGGTTGCGGTATGTCCTGTGCAGCAGCTCCCTGGTCCCCAGCACGCCGTACCACATCATGTTCTTGGTCCGACTCCTGGAGACGGGAGCAGAGGCCAGTGGGGCTCGGCTCTCCCCAGGCCAAGCGCAGGTGGCCGAGGGGCAGAGCCCGCGGCGGTCGCCGCCTGCCCGGCACGGTCGTCCTTCCGATGCCGGTGCGTGGCAGGTGGGCTGCCAGGAACACCCTTCCCAAGAAAGTAACTGTCTGAAGGGCAAAAACTCCAGGACCTGTTCCAGGTCCCGGCTCCCCTTGTGGCTTGCAGACCGCGGGGGAAGCCGGCCGGGCGGCCGGTGTCGGCGGGGCCATCCACACGGGAGGACGCACAGCGGGCCCTGGTCACTTCAGGCGAAGCAGCTGCGCCCATGGCACCCATGGGTGCCAGCCCTTGGACTGGCCGCCCCTGCGGGCCCGCCCCGCCTCGCCTGAGACACCTCCACGCTCCGACAGCAGGCGCCGGGCTCCCTGGCCCTCCTGCACCCGGAACGGCTCGAGCCCACTCCAAGGGCACCCCGTCTCGTGGAAGGGGAGAGGGGGCGCGGACCACAGGCGCGAGGCCGACACCTACCTGCACTTCTCGGGGTGCTCGTCCCGCTTGTTGTTGAAGTCCAGAGAGATCTTGGCGTCCAGGCCGATGCCGAAGTAGTTGTTCATGACGCACCGCTCCGTGTAGCGCTCGCTGCGGGGCGAGGGCGGGGTCAGACCGCGGCTGTCTCGCCGCGACTGCGCGGGCAGCACTGGCCAGCTGACTCTCGGGAAAGTGTCCCCTTATCACCCCAAAGAGGTCCCCTCGCTGCCAGCCCCGGCCCAGCCCACTGGCCTCACCCGCCGCTGCGTGGGCCGGGCCGGGCC